AAAGTCCTTACCTCTAGGGCATTTTCGTAAATTCACGCTTTTAAAATTAATAAAAACTTAAAATTAGAGACAGGTTGTCACAGTTTAAGTACTACATCTACACTTGAAAATAAGAGCCTAATAAAAAAAAATATCCATACACTACTAATCTATTACAAAATATTAAATGTGCAAGGATATGCAAAATGAAAGAGTTTTTGTTTTCAAGGTTGTGAAACCTTTCTCAAAAGTTTAAACCTTGCCAATGGAACTCAAAGTTTGCATGTTATCATTTTACAAAATCCTCAATTTTCATCAATCATCATGAGGAAATTGCATTCGAAGTTTGGCTTGATCTATTGCCTTCAACAGTTCTGTTGATTATGTTTCCAGTAAAGTTTTCCACGTCAAAACTGTCTTCCGCATAAACTAAGTATAGAAAAACTAAACATTAAAAACCATTCAAATTATGAGAAGTTTACCAAAATAATTATGAAAAGAAATAAAACAATAGTACTATACCATATAAAAATATATTAGCCTCCAACCTAATGCACAATGGACATCTCAGCCGATCCAATGGTGTGACATCCCACATTGCCCAGGGGAGTGATCCTTATATGTATATTCCCATCCGTACCTAGCACAAGGCCTTTTGGGAACTCACTGGCTTCGGGTTCTATGGGAACTCCGAAGTTAAGCGAGTAGCGCGCGAGAGCACTCCCAGGATAGGTGACCCATTGGGAAGTTCTCGTGTGAGTTCCCAGAAACAAAACCGTGAGGGTGTGCTGGGGGCCCAAAGCGGACAATATCGTGCTACGGTGGAGTCGGGCCCGGGAAGTGGTCCCACCCGGGTCGGGATGTGACAATTTGGTATCAGAGCCTAACCTTGGTCGTGGTGTGCCGACGAGGATGTCGGGCCCCTAAGGGGGATGGATTGTGACATCCCACATCGCCCAGGAGAGTGATCCTTATATGTATATTCCCATCCCTACCTAGCACGGGGCCTTTTGGGAGCTCACTAGCTTCGGGTTCCATGGGAACTCTGAAGTTAAGTGAGTAGCGCATGAGAGCACTCCCAGGATGTGTGACCCATTAGGAAGTTCTCGTGTGAGTTCCCAGAAACAAAATCGTGAAGGGGTGGTCAGCGCCCAAAGCGGACAATATCATGCTACGGTGGTGGAGTGGGCCCGGGAAGTGATCCGCCCTGGGCCGGGATGTGACAATGGTCACCAATTAAACATGTATAATTGTTAATTAATATATATATATATAATTATTATAGTTTTTAGGGGTATAAAATTGTTAAATTATATATATATATATATATATATATATATCTATATTATAGTATTTTTTTTAGGGTTATAAAATTATAAAATTATAAAACTAATATTTTGCTTATCGTGTATAGTGTATCATGTTACCATGTGTATGCTCGAACCAACCTGTTATCTTAACAGGTGCTTATTGGGTTACTCGATAACGACCTGATTCGTTATCGTGTCAACTCAAACAGTTGTTAATTTTGTGTCGTGTCGTGTCAGGAATTGACAGGCCTACCTTAGGGCATTTTTCAATTATGGATTGCAAGGGTGTTCTTGAGACATAAGATCAACTAAAGGTTTTAGTTCCACACCCTCTCCGTTTAGTTTGACGGGGGATATGAAGAGAGTAATAACATTAGTGAAGAAGGGAGTCATATTACTATGTTAGTAAAAGTAAAGGGAAGTGTTATTGGCTCCAAAAATCTCATTCTACACTCCACATAAGTGTATTTTTCTTTCCAAATATAGAAAGTTTGGAGTGTAAAATGAGATTTTTGGAGTGCCAATAACAATTCCCAAAGTAAAAAGCTAAAAGTTAGTTGGAAATCTACTCTTGTAATTTCTCGTTTCAATTTTTCTCGAATTGTTTGACTTTCTTTAAACATAGAAATAAATAATTAATTGACTATAACGCCACTTTTAAGTGACATTTTCCTTTATTTTGCAGGGATTTTTTTTTTTTAACAAACAATATTATCTACATTAAAGAAATTAGGGGATAGGATTTTTACCACCCACAAAAGTAAGGATAAAAACACTTAAAATACTTGCAAAAGTACAATGTTATTGTAGTATAGCAACTCAAGCAATATCGTTCTCCACCACAATGATTAATTTAAATAGATTAACGTGAAATTAATTCTCAACTAATTACTTAGAACAAAGGTTTTGAAAAAGGTGATTTAATGACCTAAACTAAGAAAAACGAAATTAATTAAAAAGGTTACTTAAAATTTGCAATTTTAAAGAGGGAAAAAGAAACAATTTTTAGAGTTCAAAGTAAGAAAGTACTAGGGTTCCTCCGCCACCTTAACAATCCTATGTAGTTTTACCAATTACTTATGAAGTACACATGCAACTTTGAAGGTTAGGTTTTCCTAAAGTATATCCTACTTGTGGTATTCAAGCTAGAACGTATATTAAACATGCAATCCATCTATGACATTCAGATCAAATATAAACATGCATGACTCATTACGCTTTGTGAAAACTCCTTGAAAAACCATGCAACCCCTAAGACGTGGCATTCACCCTAGGTGAAATTACAACTATCAATCACAAGAAGCAATACTCAATCCTTCAGTGGCATTCCGATTGAATTACATCCGATTACTTATCTAAACATCTTAATGGTCACGAATCATTAAGACACAAAGACAGTTTAAACACAGTGATTAATAATTCAAAGCATGCATGCATAATATCATAAGCAATTAAATAAAGACTATATATTCATACTAAGGCTCATGGCCTCACCCTAGCAAAGAGAATTAGTTACGCATATTCATAATAGAAATCACAAAGTCTTTATTGAATAAGAAAAAGAATGAAAACACCTTGAAAGTTTAAGTCTTGAAATCTCTAAGCTTTGGCCAAAATCTTTTCTCCAAAAATTGCATAAAGAAGAAGACCTAGGGTAGGCCTAAAAGGCTTATTTATACCACTCTAATTAAATCCTTATAGTAAAAGGTCTTAAAATAAGACTAGGGAACCAAATAAATTAGGAAACTTAATCCCAAATTGACTTGGTAAATTCGTCCAAAATTCTTGGCAGCCACGATTTGGATCCATATTAGCTCCAAAACTAGCCCAAAATAGCTGGATTTAAAACTTTAACTATTTTGAACACTTTTCCAGAAGACCACGAACCCATATGAGATCTTGGGCTCCAGAAACTGCATTTAAGCCCAAAAAACGTCATTTTCCAGCAATGCACACTGCTCCTTTATTTAATCGCCAGAAAATAACCACTTGGTAGAACTTTCTAAAATTTTGACACGAACACGCCAAGAGACACATGAACGTCCTCCAACTTGAATCACTCCAAAGTTTGTCCGTTTGAGTACGTTTTTCTCTAGATAAAGTCGAATGTCCTATGTTGAAAATATAAAACAAAGTATCAAAATTTTACCAAAATATACTAAGAATGAGGTAAAATATATAATATAATATGGACTCATCATTAGATTAGTAAAAGTAAACAGCTAAAATTTAGTTTGAAATTTACTCTTGTAATTCCACATTTCAATTTTTCTCGAATTGTTTGACTTTCTTTAAATGTAGAAATAAATAATTAATTGACTACAACGCCAATTGATATTTACTTTTAAGTGACATTTTCCTTTATTTTGTAGGTTTTTTTTAACAAATGATATTATCTACATTAAGGAAAATGAGTGGGCTAAGTCTCACCATGTGTTAGTAATAATATAATTCAAATTCGCCTTTGGTGAAAATTAAACCTAAGACCTCAAACTTACAAGTGAAGAGAAATACAACTAGATTGTAATATTAAGTGGTAAAGGGTTGGTTGGTCTTTGTACCATAAGCTGCGAGTAAAAAAAAATCACAATTCTTAAGAGCTCGTTTAGAAGTGTTTTTAAAATGACTAAAATGCATTTTGGAGAATATGTTTTTTGTAACCAATTCTTAGTAAAAGCACAAGTGAATTCTAAAAAAGTACTTGAATGTGCTTATTGGACGAAGCACATAATTGTTACTTCTTTCAAGGAAGCAATTCAAGTACTTTTAGAATCCAAAAATCATTTTCTCAACGCTTTTAGTCATTCTTAAAAGCCTTCCAAACGAGCCCTATAGGCAAAATCCCCAATATTATTGTTTATGTCAAAATGTTAGACTTTATTAAATTCAAATGAAAATATTTACATCCTCTACCAAAATATTAAAAAGAAATCAAGACCAACAAAGTTCCACAAATGAGAGCTACCGTGCCTAGCTACATATGAGGTGACAAAATGTGCTACCCTTTTACTATCACGAGGGCAGACAAAAATACATCAGAACTCATTGTTCTAGCTAAGTTGAATCAAATTTGCTAATCCAACATGGTTTACTAATTTCTCTACGCTACCATGGAATCTCGTACCTCCTTTGTACGTGATTTTGTAGAATATTTGCCAAAACTGTTTTACACGAGGATCAAAATTCATAAATTAAAGCACAAATGATGGGATAATTTGACTTGGTTGTTTTCAAAAGTCAATTAGATCAGCAACTCTTTTGGTCAGAGCTTCTAGTAACACCTTGCTTTGCTTGTTACTTCACAAAGGAACAATAAAATATAAAAAAAATCCTCAACTCCAAAACCAAAAGGTCAAGAAACACCTATGAAGATGCTTACTTTACAAATAATCAATCCGTCTTTTTTACGTTGGACCCGCCCGCCCAATGACCGGTCCATTTCACCATGTCGCACGTGTGGACTGCCACATGGCATTTCCGTAGATAAGTCAAAAGTAGAGGGTCAAGCTTTACAACACGGAGGCACCAATTCAAAACCTCCACCTCGCTCTACTACCGATTCCATTAACGAGCCCAGAACGCGGGCGTTCCGTCCGCCAAGGTTTACCAAACGAAGCCCCATAACCCGAATTAATTTAACCATGGTTAGGATATTAACCGCAGTTAGGTTGTCTCCTCCAATCAAACCCCACCTCCTATAAACCTCAGCCACATAGAAGAAAACCATACAACGCGCAAGCGAGAGAGAAGAAAGAAAAAAACCCGAGCGACAGATAGCCAACGAATCCACAGCCAGAGATGGCGGCGGTTTACGTTGACGAGGAGGAGGTCTGGAAATGCCCTAAACACCCTTCCAAGCGCCGCAAGAGTGGAATCTGCCCCGTCTGCCTCCGCGAGCGCCTCGTCGTTCTCTGCCCCGACTGCGCTAACGTCCGCCCCTGCGGTTGCTGCGCCACGACGTCGTCTTCCTCGTCTTCTTCTTCTTCCTCTCGCTTCCCCGCCGGCGACGGCGTCCGAGTCTCCAAGATTCTCGAGAGCGAGCCGTCTTTCCGGCGGTCCCGGTCGGTTGCGGTCCCTTTTCTGCGCTCCACCTCGAAGTTTCTCGGCGGCGCTTTTAGACACGCGGACTTTGACTCCGCCGGCGACAGGAGCGAGCCCCAGAGCGGCGGACGGACTAAAACACCGTCGTTTTGGTCGTCGGTATTCCGGTCGTCTCACAGGAGCAAGACAAGCGAGGTTAATGATGGAGAGCACGAGACGACGGCGGAGAAGAAAGCCGAGGGCGAAATCCAAGAGGAGGAAGAAGACGCAGATGCTGCGATGAGAAAGAAGATGATGAGAAAATCGAGGTCGGTGGCCGTGCCGATGATGTCTTCAAAAGCTGGTAGCGTTGGAGGTGAGAGACCGCCGGCGAAAGGTAGGGGATGGCATTTCCCGAGCCCGATCAAGGCCTTCCGGCATTCCAAAATTTCAAAGATCGTTTCCGAGCGGTCGCCTGTGTACAGAGGTTAATTATATTTTCTTTAGAAAAAAATAATTAAATTAACATTAAAAAAACCGATAACTCTTCCATTTTGTTTTAATTTATTTTTGGAATGTGAAAGAATCCATGACGAATTTTGATCTTGCAATGGTAATATTTCGAATGCAACTTGGGAAGGATTATGTATTGCAAAGCTGGTAAATTCAGTAATTTTATTTTATTACGCTCTATTTCTGGGATTTTTTCTTTAATTATTACGATGTTTTATTTTAATTTAATTGGCTGAGATAATTAATGAAAAATGTGGGAGGCCGTTTTGGCGCACGATGAGATTTCTCTGCAGGGTGGGTGGGTCTTGTTGACAACATCCAGTTTTGCAAGTCTCTAAACGGCTTTGGGGAACAGTCAAACTAGGAGTAGTTTAATCCACGTGGCACGTGGATGTTGGAGAATATATATCAACGAGTGAATGTAATTATGCAGAGGTCACAACAGGATCCTCTCCGCATCTTTTGTTAAAATTTTGAAGTTTCTTAAATTGTATCTATTCATTGTATATTGTATATCGTGCGATCAATTTTTAACAAATATTATTTGTGTTTAATTTTAAATAAAAACATTTAAAATAATTTTTATCTGCATAATATACGATGAACAGACAGAATTAACGAATCTTTGAAATCTTTACAAAAAGAATTTAGCGAGAATCCGAATTCATGCTAAGGTAACTGAAACAAGTTCCAATATTAATTACTAAAGGTAAGGTTGCCCAAAACCAGAAGAATATCTGTCTTTACACTGCTGTATTACCGTACTTTGGTTGGTGTAGCTGCTGTATCTAGTTAGTGAGTTTTTAGTTAGTTGTTAGGAAAAGAACATAGACGGTGAGAATTAAACTCGTGACAAAGTATATAAGTATGAGAATGTTTAATTACTGTGGTAAAACATCATTTGTTATTTAATTAGAACTTTTAGTAAAACTAAATAATTCAATAACTAAACAGTTAGGGAAATGATAATTTAGTGAAGGTGGGGATTTGGAAGTCCGTAGGGCCTATGAATATATGGGCGTTATGTGACGTATGTCACTTCCAAGTGCCTGTTAATTCAGTGGTTAGGGGCACATTATGATTTATAAGGGTGGAAATATGAGGCTGAACTTCATTTGAGGGCCATTTTAGAGCCCTAGATTTTTTATGATCTTCTAAGGATAATCTAGCTGATGCGAAAGGAATAACCACATCTATTTATATTTTCCTGATTTATCTCCTTTTTTTTTAATAAATAAATTAAGCATAAACAGAATGTTTCAAAACGGAAAAGAAATGGTAGCATCCCATATTTTATCCTTTATTTTACATCGATATTAATCAATTCTTGCCCTTTATTTATGGTTAAAGTCAACTCTACCTTGATTTGCTTAATTATCTGTCAATTGAAACTAATCCCCCTAATTTATCATTCATGTTATTTTAGGAATTCTCATATATTGTAATCTAAAAAGTATTTAAATTATATAATTTGAAGAGGACATTGTTGACTTGTTAAACCTAATTAGTAATTTGTTAATAAAGAACTTCGAGTGGGTCAATGATGAATTTCCTATAGCTGGTTTGAAGTGGTCAATCTCGCTCGCTCTCTACACTCATAGATGATTCGTATAAGCGCTAGAGATTAGTCACTAAAGAGGCACCGGTCGATTGGTATCGACGGAGCACTCTCTCTCCAATACCATTGTTGATGTTTCTTTGTCGATACTAACCGACTGGTTGAAAAAAAAAGAGTCGAAAAGAGTGCAAGGTAATATTTGCCCATTGGGTCATCAAAATGTAGAGATAGCTCTAATAATTCAACGTAATTTATGAAAGGATGTCTCCCAAGTGTGAAAGTTTAGGAATAATAGAATCATCATCAAACAATGTTCATCAATCAACAAAAACAACATATATAATTAATCTCAACTTGAAAATAATGTCCATATCATGGCCTATCTGTTCTCGTGAGTAGGGGGATATATTGAACCTTCGGCTTACTGTCTGTGAATTATTAGAACAGTTTGGTAGGTCCAGCAATGTGACATTTCAAATAGTTTAATTGTTCACATAGTATTTAGTTGGTAACCTAATACATCAGATGTTGAAGGTCTTATAAATAACCTTCATTTGTTATTTGAGAACCAATAATCACCACTTTGTTTAATCTGAAGCACGAACCTCCAACATTTCGTTCAGACATAATGTTATATTAACAGAAATTTATGAAGCATATCAAATCAATAGTAAACCCTAATATGTCATATGCATATGCCAGTTTTTCTTTTATTGGTCGAATGGCTAGCTCATATACTAGTTTAGAATGTTCATAGCATTCACTACAATTTTCCATAAGTTATAAGTTAAGGTGGGTGTTCGTGTATCTTAAAATGTTAATCATTGCGTCTGGATAACTGTAACCAAATGTTATCATTTGACCAAAATAATACGGTATCATTTAACCCCAATTTTGGTAAATACATGCATAAATCCGTTTAGTAACCTTAACCACGTGTTTTCGATAGTGATTTGGATTTGCGAATCTGCACGCAGATTCGAACCATTGGATCGACAAAAACAGCTGCAATTTTCTATTGAACTCTGCTAACCGAAGCACATGTATACTTGTTGATACATAAACAACGTATTTTGGAATGTAGAGCTGTGAATCTAAATAGTTTATTCAATTGAGTTTCTAACTAGGGTACGTAGTTAGTGGCGCGTCTTTAATTCGTGTGTCCGCACAATTCTTTCTTGATCAAAATATTATTCACTGTTAATATATTTTAAGAAATTAGTTATTAAAGATGTACGCACACTTTGACATTTTTTTTTAAAAGAAACGGTAGTGGTTTCATTCATAACGTTAAGAAAGAATAAAATCCTCGAGAAGGATGGAGTAACTTTGGGGTCTCCTCGAACCAACAAGTAAAGTTGAAAAATTAAGGCCAACCTAACCATTTAATGGTACGCATACTTGAAATTATGTTGTAATTGTATCGTTCATCATTATACCGACCCTTCTTCTAAATAACAAAAAGAGTTTTTAACTTTTATAGGAAACGTTATCCAAACTAGATAATCCGGTTAATTTTAACTTTCAAACTCTGAGAAATTTGTATTATACAATCCACTTAAAGACGTTCCGATCCAGTTTCTAAATCCAGAATTCCTCTATATATACCCCTCTGATTTAGGTTTCGATGCAACCATTGTTTAAAATATTTATAAAATTGTCGATATTTCTGTTGAAACATATGAAAAATCAAGGATCGATATGGAATGACAGGTGAAATGCAAACTTTACCCTATATTTGTGAGGTATAGGAATATCAATTAATATGGATGATTTTTAATGATCCGCTACAGAAATTTTCCGGCACACATTGCAGATTTTGAGTTTTTGATTTTTTTTTTGAGAATTTTTTCTCTAATTTCGGTTGAAGGAAACCAATATTAATATATCCATCAACATTTTTATAAAATTGCATTTTGATACTTCCATCCATATAGATATTTTAAACACACGATACAAATTAGAATTTGGTTTGACTAAGTATCCCCTTGTGGCGTGCATGAGTTGGGCTTTTTGGGGGTTCACTTGGTTCTTTTGGTTATTATACTATTAACAAATCAAGAATCAAAGATTCAGTAATGGTAGACCGACTGTTAAATCTTCTTGCCATTAACTAAAGGACTGCTTAGTTTTTTAATACGCCGCTTGGCAGTCGGCCGTAAGGTGCTTGTGATTGTGGTCCTGGCTATCACATTGCCAGTGTTTTTGGACCAAATAAAAGTCTAAAAAATTTGATATTTTAAAAGTCAAGTTCTTTAAGGGAAAAAAAAATTATGGCCATGAGATTTTAACAGAGTTTTCAACACATGCTTTCTATTTAGTTGATAGAGTTTTTCACCAGCTGAGAATATTATTTTAATTTTCTAACGCTCTCTGGAAATTGAAATATTTAACTGGAGAAATTGCGTTAGTCTTTGGCAGATTAGATTCTCATTCATTTTGCTTAGTCCTTGTACAATTAGAGTATCAATATTCATGTCAAAATTAATTAGTAATGAATTGGGAGGTCTAGGGTATTGTTAATATTTAAAACCTGGAGGTGTTTTCATTTTTTTTGTTTGTTTGTTTGTTTTTTTTTTTTTTTTTTTTGGTTTGTTGAGTAAGAACGATATTCAATAAATCGGGAAAACTTACAAACTAAGGGGTGAGGATAGAGTAAATAATTGGATCTCAATAAAAACCTTACCAATGATTTCAACCTGGTCGAAGGGAAAAAGAGTGTCGGCACTTACAAAGAGAAAGCTATCCTCAACACCACGAAAAGGGATTAAGCACAACTAATGCTATCTTGCAAAACTTGGAGGTGGTTTGTACGTACTTATTAGCCTCTCACACACATTTTTATTATTTTTGTTCATTGAATTGAATGAATTAAACAAAAACAATAAACATGATTAAATAGAAGTTTGTTTGAAGAGGAAATAATTGTGTATTATCAGTTTCCTTTAACAATATTACGACTTCAATAATGTAGATAAGTCTCTATCACCACTTCGCACATATGCCATTATTTAAGTAAAAATATGCGAACAATATATATGAGTGATGTCTAAGAACTTATGTAACATCCTACATCGTTCAGGGAAGTTGATCTTTTAAGCCTTATATGTATATTCCCGTCCCTACCTAGCAAGAGGCCTTTTGGGAGCTCACTGGCTTCAGGTTCCATCGGAACTCCGAAGTTAAGCGATTTCACACGAGAGCAATCCCAAGATGAGTGACCCATTGAAAAGTTCTCATTTGAGTTCCCAGAAACAAAACCATGAGGACGTAGTCGAGGCCCAAAGCGGATAATATCGTGCTACGATAGAGTTGAGCCCGGGATGTGGTGGGGACCCGAGTCGGGATGTGACAACTTATGTCTCCATCATTAGTAAGTTTAGTGGCGAATTAAGAATTTTATATATGTGGAGCCTATTAACAACGTCCACCACAATGTTGTTAATTACATGTTGAGGTCTTATTGTCAGAAGGCATGAATGGGCTTGTTCTATGAAAATGTTGTTGGAAATTATATATTATAATTAATATTATAATATTTAATTTTTATATGAATGAAAAATAAAAGTTATGTGTCACAGTTGAATTCAAATTCATGAGTTACGTCTGTTCATTGGAACTT